AGGGTCCTGGGATCATACCCCACATCGAGCTGTCTGCTCGGCGGGGAGCCTGCGCCCGCTCCCCGCCTACTTGTGAGCTCTCTCTCAAATAAATAAATAAAATCATAAAAAAAAAAAAAAGATTCTCTCTCTCCAAAATAAATAAATAAATAAATTAAAAAAACAAAAAAAGGAAAGACAAGAGACTGAAAGAAGCGGAGAGGAGGACAGGTAGACACAAAATAGTAACTTGATACTTATGAAGCACTAACTCTGTGCCCCGCAATGTGCTGAGAGTTTCACAAAAACTGTTTCACTGAATCCTCCCAACAGCGCCTTACACTATCATTCTCATCCCCATTTAATAGGCAGAGAAACAGAGGCACAGAGAAGTCAAGTTGCCTATCACACAGGTGTAAGTGATAGAAGTTGACTTTGAACCAAGGCCAGTATAACCCCAAGCTCACCCATTTAACCACTATACTTTGCTGCTTCTTTTAGAGAAATTGGAAGAAAAAGGCTGACGGGGCGCCTGGGTGGCACAGTCATTTAAGGTTAAGCTCTAACTTCAGCTCAGGTCACGATCTCAAGGTCCTAGGATTGGTGGGGCTCCCCCCTTCCGTGTAGAGTCTGCTTCTCCCTTTGCCCCTCCCCCACTCACCCTCCTCCCAGCTCTCTCGTTCTCAAATAAATAAATAAATAAATAAAATCTAAAAAAAAAAAAAAAAAGGCAGTCCTGTCATTTGCTCAGAAACCTTCAATGACTCACTAGCGCCTGGAGGTTGAAATTGAACTTCCTTGGCACGGTATTCGAGGTCCCTCACACTATGAAGTCAAAATTCTTTCCAGTTTTACCCCTACTCACCAATCAGGATCCTTGCACTTCCGCCACACTGCATCAACTAACTTCTCCGTTTTCTCTGAAAACTTCCGGAGCCCTTCACTTCCTACTCCCTTCCTCGTTGGGATCCTATCCAAACTTCAAAGCTCAGCTCAAATGTCTCTTCTTCCGGGCAGACTTTCGTGATCCGCATCCAGAAGGGGGGCTGGCTCTCCCTGAACCCCAGAACACAGTCCCCACCTCTGCACTCGGCGCATTTTGTACCCCACCGCATCCCCACCCCCGTGCTTAGCGCACGGCCTGGAACGCAGAAGTGCTCACATCTCGGTTTAATTGACAGGGAGAACAACTGTCGAATGGAGGTAGGGAGTGAGACCCTCTAGAGATGGAGATCAGAGAAGGAACCGAGAGGCAGAAGCCGAGACGGGCAGGGAGGATGAAGACGAACACCGGGGTGTGATTAGACGGACTGCAGTCGGGGAGCGGGTCTCCCCTCGCCGCGCCAGGCCTCTTCCCACCGCCCAGGGGCCCACGGTGACAATTCCTCTGTCGCGACTTCTGGGCAGGCGGCCCGGACCTGGAGAGGTGGGGCGCGGGGGCGGCGGGGCGCGGCGCGCTCGGGCGGTCACCCGCGTCCTCGTCATTAGCATAAATCCCATTAGAGGCTCCCGGCGCGAGGCGGCTGCGTGGGCGGCGGGGGTGGGGAGAATGGGCTCAGGTGACCGCCCTCCTCCGCCCGGTGCTCACGCGGTCTCCGACGGCGCATTGGGAGGCACAAGGCCCTTTTACAGCCATAAACTCGCCGGCACCGCAGAGCCGCCCGGCGAGTGAGACTCAGAGAAGCAGGAGATTAAATAACCAAGCCCAGATCTCGCCTCCAATAAGTGGTAGAGCCGGGAATCAAACCCATGCTTTTTGGCATCAGCTTTCACGCTTTTCCCTTAACAGGTGCAGCCCCGGGATGCCTCCCTCACCAGAGAACCGTATTTTGGGAAGAAAGGGGGTTAAGAAAGTTCCTCCACGCCCCCCCCCCCCCCCCCCCGCACACACACACAACCTCACCTTTTCTGTGCCTTCTTCTCACTGGGCTTGTGCAACAGAAAAGGGGCTTGAGTGGAACAGGAGGGGTGTGGTGGTGCCTTGGGTGGAGGGAGGAGTAGGCGGGCAGGCAATGTCTCCAACCCTCATGGCTACCACCGTCCCACTGAACTCACTTCTGCTCACTCAGATGGCTACTGGAGCTGCGAAAGCTAGAGAATATAGCAGTAAATGAGAGGAATACCATCTTTAGTTAACTGGAAGTTTATCGTTTAGTAGGAAAGGGAATATTTACTGAGCAGTTACTGTGTGCCAGCACTATGCTAAGTGCTTTACATGGCATCTCATTTATTCCTCTCAACAACTCTGTAAAATAGGCACTGTAAAATAGGCACTATTCCATTTATAGATGAGTGAGCAAAGGCACAGATGATTGTGAAAAAGGCCACATAACTGGTAACTGGAAGAACCCTAGTATAAATGAAGTGCCGTGTGAAGGGGGGACAGGTACTAGGTGATCGTCTAACAAAGGCATGGCTCCAGGCCTCAGATAACTCTGAAACAGAAAACTTTTAAGCTGCCCTGGAAGGGTGAGTAGAACTTAGCCTGGTGAAAAGGCAGTGGGGGTGGGGAGGAAGAAGTGCAAATAAATGCTAGAGGGGTCAACAAGTGCAGCTCCAGGGGCAAGCCAGGCCAGGTTAGGGGAGCCTTGGTAGGGATTTTGGTCTTTACTGCGGAGGAAGTTGAAATCATTAATGATTTTAAACAAGACAGAGACATGACTAGAGTTGCATTTTTAAAAGATCATTCGGTGGGGGGGGGGTAAAGAATGCGAGAGAGGGGTAAATAATTTCATTGGTGGCTAGGACTACTGAATTGGACTAGGGTGGTGATGATAGGAAGGAGAAATGGGTGCACACAAAAGACAAAGAGCTGTGCTCAGTAACTGGACAAGAGGTTAAAGGGAGAGGGAGAAAGCTGAGTCATTTTACACCCTCTCCTCTCTTTCCAATCATTAGGTCCAATTGTTTAATAAATGCACTTCATTTCATGAGTATCTTTCCCATCTGCCCCTCCTTTCCGTCCCTCCTGCCACTGGTCTAATTTGGCTCATGTCTTTTTTTCCCTAATGACACAGAAAGAGTCTTTCTACTTTCATATTTTCCCCTCTCCAGACAGTCCTCCATGCCAGCTGAGCATACGACCCATGTAAAATGCAAACCTAGTCAAAATCGGTCTGAACCCCACTGTCTTGTCCCTGTGTCTATTACAGAACAAAGTCTAATTCCTTCCTCATCTGGTCTCTACATATTTTGCCAGCTGCTTCTTCCCCTCCTCAAGCCAAAGCTGCCTAAGAAGGCCTCACACTCCCTGAACCCCCGATGTCACCTGAACATTGAGGTCAATGTTCCTTCACAGCCCTAAACCTTCATAAATTGTTTGCTTGTGTATTTATTAAATATACACATGACTCATTCCTGAGAGGTCACAGGATCCTCCCGTTGCTAAGAATGTGCCACCCCCTTCTATCTGGTAAATTCCTGTTCACATTTCAAGTACTAGCTCAGACATCAAGTCTCTGCAGGCTTTACTAACACTCCCACTCCCCAGATAGGATTAAAACTGCTTCCTCGTCTGTACTTCTAAAGCATTTTACACATATTGTGTCCTCATATTTAATTGTATGATAGGTATCTAAGGAGGCACAGACTAGTACAATCAATGAGTGCTTCTGATCTTAAAGGCTGTGGGGAGGATTAAGGGGATAATATGTGTACAGTTAATATTTACTTTCTTCCTATCTTCCCTAATAATATTAATAACAAGCTGTATTTATAGCTTATAAAGTGTAAACTTTGTTAGTGTCCCACTCTTGTTTGATCTGGGACTAAACATGTGAGATAGGGATAGTACTATTATTTCTGTTTTGTAGCTGGAGGACATGAAGTACAGAAGCATTACACAGTGATAATGCCACTGGTTCAGTGGTATGCCTGCTGCACAGAAGGGCTCCAATGGTATTTGTTTACATGGAGTCAAGTTTTCTGGTTATAAAACCTGTGACCTTTCCTTTAGACCACACTGTTTCTTGTATGTGTTAGGCAGTATTTTTTCAAATTGCGGGTAGCCGCTCATTATTGAATAAGGAATTCAATGACATAGAGACGATCAACATGGAGGTGGAGGTGGGGAATAGAAAAGTTCAGAGTACAGTATATTGTAGTGAGGATGAGCAGAATTCTGTGACGTGGTTGTAACGTAAAATGTATTTCTCCCTGTGAGTCTGCATGAAAAAGAAAGCAAGCTCTGTGCTTAGCACAGTGCCAAATTCTAAGTGAACACTTATTAAATGAAATTATAGCACTTTTATTTTGCATTTATTTCCCCCCCCCCCCCCCCGGGCTCTCTCTCTTGCATTCTAGGCTGCTGGAAAGCAGAGATCATATCATCTTTTTTTTTTTTTTTTAAGATTTTATTTATTTATTTATTTTAGAGAGAGAGAAAAAGAGCACGATGGGGGAAAGGGGTGAGGGAGAGAGAAAAGCTGACTCCCCACTGAGCAGCGAGCCTGATGTCCGCCAGATACCAGGACCTGGATCATGACCTGAGCCCAAGGCAGACACTTAACCAACGGAGCCACCCGGGCGCCCCTCATCTTTATTTTTCTGATACCTAGTAGAGCGCTTGTTACATACAAATTTAACGCACTCAAATAACAAGTAAGACCTGGATGAATGTACCAACGAATGAAGGCATTACATAGCTCAATAAACATGGTTACAAAATGACTGTTCTAACTCCTTCCGGACTTCCTCCCATTCAACAGCGGGACCTTACACCGTTCAATTGATAATTTCCAAAAGCCCTATTTTCCTGCCTGGGGAAACAGCAAGGCTACGCATAATCTGCATTCAAAGTATCACTTGCCCTTAGTCAACATGGTATCCTGAACGGCTTCAGGAAAGGAATCTGGGGCCGCAGACCCTAAAAGCAAACAGCGTCCCCACAATTCTTCTGACCTTAGTCAAAATGGCTACCTTTGGCGTCGTTTTATAAGCATGCGCATGCTCAGTTCTGGCCCCGCCTCACCCCGTGGCGCTGATGCGTGCGTCGCAGCGTAGAGGGACAGCGCGGGAGGAATAAATTTCTCTGTGATTGGTTGGTGCAGGATTTCAAACCCGAGCCGGAGGCGCGGTGCCGCTCTGCCGTTGGGTGAGGCGCGGAGGGAAGTAAGAGGAAGGCGGCTCAAGTGGGTCCAGGCGGACCGGGCCAGGTGGGCGCTAAAGGCTGCGAGAACAGGTGCGTCTGACTCCGGGTGTGTGGTGGGAGGAGAGTGTCCGAGGTGGTGAGTCGCGGCCACCGCGGGTTCAGGGAGAAGATCGGTAACTACAACCCCTCCTCTGGGAGGTCTCCCCCGGTCGGGGGAGGCAGCGGCCCGAATGGGCGGTGGCTGGGAGTGGAGGGCTTTTTTCTCCTAGCTGTGTTTTTGAGGTGATGGCTTGGACAGGGCAAGACAGGTGGTTTTGAGGTGATGGCTTGGACAGGTGGTTCTTTCCACCCCCAAGAAGTGACTTTCACTTAAATACAGAGTTTGGGAGTGGGTGGGGTAATGCCCCCATTCTCTTCCGAGGGGCACGGAGTTTTGGAAGGGAGAAATCCTGGTGTTTGAGAGGCCGGGGCGGCTTGAAGTGGAGCCTCTCTCCCTTCTGGACTGTGTGTATCCAGGTAGGCTGGGCTAGGCAATGACATCTTGCTCGTCCCATCCGAATTCTTAGCCTTAGGAACAAGGAGGCCTTACTTTTAGAATTTCACGTATGTTTCTCTTAACTGAATTTCGTTCCGTAGGCGGAGAGAGTGTTCAGCAACGTGTGGTGGGTGAGAAGATAAGCTTTTTTTTTTTTTTATTAAAGAAATGTTATTATCATTCTCTTGAATGTGTGGGGTGAACTTTTCGAGTTATTGAAAGTGTTTAGAGAGAAGGCGCCTTTCCTATAGCTTAATCACTCAACAGGTACTTAATCAGTGCATAATATAAATACAATACGATCTTATTTAGCCGTAAAGGAGCTTGCACTTTTTTTGGGCTGATAGAACTTAAGATAACTGTGGTGAGTCTAGTAGGCCTCTGCACTATTGAATATAGTGTACATTATTATAGCCCTTTTAGAAAATATTTTGGCTGTATTTATCAAGAACTATAAGAGGCTTTTACCCTACGATATAGTAATCCCAGCCTTGGAAATCAGTTCTAAGGAATACAGCCACCTAAAGGAAAAACTTGTTTACAGTGATGTTCAATTCATTCATTTGGTGAATGTCTTTTAATCATTTGCCAAATGGCAGGCCTGTTCTGGGTACAGGGGCTCAGCAGTGAACAAAACAGACAAAAATCTGTGCATTCTTGAAACTTAAACTGTTCTGGAGGCAGACAATAAACAAGTTAATATATGGGTATGTTAGATGAAGACAAGTGCTTTGGAGGAAAATAAAGCAGAGAAGTGTAGGGGGGTAAAGTCTGCAATTGAAAATTGGATAGTTAGGAAAGACGTCAATGAGAAAATGACATCTGAATAAATCCCTGAAGGAGGTGAGGGAGTGACTATCCAGGAGATTCCAGGTAGATGTAACTGAAAATTACATTAATATCCAAAGAAGACAACGGTTAAATAACTGTTAATTAACTTTCTGTAACTTAATGGAATCATGATGGAGAAAAGCAAAACACAAACATATCAATCTATGATTGCAATATTACAAAGATACCAGTATATAATGGGCAAAGATTAGATAATGAGATGCATGTAATTGTTTAGGGTGATGAGATTTTAGTTTCACTATTAAAAAACATTAATTTTTTTGAACTTGGAAAATTCCATAGTACGAAGCAATGTTTTATATCTGCCAAATGAATGTTATCGATAATAGAGATAATTTTGGACTGAAATTGTTAGGGAATGTTTTAGTGAATTGGTAAGACACTAGACCTTGAAGAATGGAACACTGCAGAATGGTAAGAATCCCCAGTATAAGAAGGAAAAAAGGAGGACTTAGTATACTAAACTGGTAATAATTTTTTGAGAAATAATAGTTCAATTCGTCTTTTTTTTTTAAGATTTTATTTATTTATTTGACAGAGAAAGATCACAAGTAGACAGAGAGGCAGGCAGAGAGAGAGAGAGAGAGAAGCAGGCTCCCCGCTGAGCAGAGAGCCCGATGCGGGGCTCGATCCCAGGACCCTGAGATCATGACCTGAGCCGAAGGCAGAGGCTTAACCCACTGAGCCACCCAGGCGCCCCAATTCGTCTTTTTACTTTAGTTTTCATTCATGCTGGATTGAGAACATTCTGTTTACTCTTTCTGTAATTCATTTGTTCATAAGAGCATTTGGTTTCAGGATATTCCTTCTGTCCGCCAGTTGTGTAGAGACTGCTGATCCAGTAAAGCAAAAGCTGGACATCTGGGAAAAAGAATTGCTCCAAAGTGCTTTCATATGAAAGAATCTTATAGTATTGAGACTGTCTTAGGAAATGATTTTCTTTGGCCGTGGAAAACCTGTATTGCTGAATTCTTGGGAATCTCCAGATTTAGTAATGTTTGTGAGAATATTTTTCATTAAAACGCTTTCCTGAAAAACTCAACCTTCCATTGCTTTGTCTTACAATATTTAACACCCTTGATGCATCTAAGGCATGATGTATAGGTCTCTTAATAATGTTGTTTCTAGGAGGAAGAAGAGGATAGAGACTTTTCTCAGGATACTCTGCAGTTAAGATCTGTAATAGTCTGTTATTCTGAAGGACGATGTCTGTCTCTTGGCTGGGTGATTGAAATTAAATTGGGGACTCAGAGCAATCACATCAAGCTGAGACTCTTTCCTGGTGATGTGAAATTGCTCCCTCAGGGATACTCACAGATTGGGAATCTGTAACATAGTGACTTCTCCACCTCTGGGGCTTCTCATCAATAACAGCTGAGATTCTCTAGCACCTTTTTGTTTAAAGTGCTCCACAAACTGATTTCCTTGCTACACACAGGGATCATTTCAGCTTTCCCAAAAGGCAGCTGCCTCCATAGTGAAAAGTGACAGCTGTTTTACAGCTGCAAAGCAATGTACTACAACATGACTTTGTTTTTGTTTCCTTTCACATTAGTGTATCTCCTAGCTCTGGAGCTAAATAATAAAGGGGGAGAAATAAAGGAGTGTTCTTGTGAGTGAAAATGTGACCCAACAGGAAAATTAACATCGTTTTTAATTGACATTGAATAGGATGAGTAAATGTTAGCTTTTTGAGTTACAGTTTGGCTGTGATATCAGAGTTAGTACTGATGCAGAAAGATATTTTTGTCATCTATAAATAATTCCTGAATGTCACTTCTATAGAACATTAATAAAAATACATGGTCCCCTGGTGTATAAAGAGAAGAGGATTATATTTTGCTGGTGCCATTTTTGGATTACCCTAAGTAAACCTGTGTTAGAGGAAAAGCTATTTTCAGATGCTACAAGCCTCATGTAAGACAGCCTGCTAAAGAGCCTAGACCTGGTCAAATTTTGCTGTCTTCTCCATTCTTCTTGGTCTGGGTTCCAGCTATGATTTGGTAATCACTGTGCTGGAATGTAAATAACAACTATCAGACCAAAACAAAAAACAAAAAAAAAGTCATACCCACTATAATACCCTATATAAGGTTCAATTTTTACATTATAAAACTTTTACCTATGTGAATTGATGCTATTCTGTGAGGTCAGTAGGCCAAGTGTTACTGTTCCCACTTATAAATGAGTCTCAGAATCTGACTTGTTATACTAACAAATAGAAGAACTGAAACTTTATCCCAGGGCTTCTGTCCAAGCCACCCCTTTTTTTAAACTGTTGTTTAAGTTTTCATCTATATTACACACTGATGTTCAGGTAGAATGGAAATTCTTTTGACAGTAGACTCATTGGTGTGTGTTCTCTGATTTCCATTTATCATTTATTTATTTATTTAGTAAACTCTACGCCCAATGTGGGGCTCCCACTCATGACCCTGAGATCAAGAGTCACATGCTCTACTGACTGAGCTAGCCAGGCACCCCATCAAATATTTATTTTTAAATATTGAGTGTTTGTGTGCATGATACAGTTGTGCCAAAGGTATGATTTCTCTCACATGTACAGCCTACCTGGGATATAGGGTAGAAATGTGGTAAAGTTAAATTAGAGTGCAAAGTGTATGTGTCTTGAGTGCCAACTGAGCAAAGCAGTGGGGGAAGCATCAGTTGAAGTGAATGATGGCAAACCTGCCTGTGATTAGGGGCTGGATAGAGAACATGAGAGAAGAGTCCACAGGTATGGTGATCGTACTTGTCAGAAAGGGAGTAACTGAAGGTGATTCTGAGGTTTGGAACTGCGTGAATGATAAGGAAATCAAAATTGGGAGTTGGTAGAGTAGGTCAGTGGGTAGAGTGGTTGCTGATATATGTGATGGGGAGGGATAGAACCAAGTCTCAGGATCAGGCTTCACCTCTAGGGCATCCAAGTCGAATTAAGAGCTGTAGGACGGCGGTTAGGAGAGAGGCTGGAGAGGGATGGGTGATCATCTGGAGAGCTGTAAGGACTAACATGGGATAGTTTGGTAAGTTCTTCGAGAGATTGGAGGATTGAATTTTAGGGAATATCTGGCGTTGAGAGGGAAACGTAGAAAACCATAAACGCTTCCTAAAACTAAATCTGCAGACTGTGATGATCTGACAGTTGAGGGTTACCTCTATTTCATAGCAGAGCATGGGGAGTTAAACAACTGTCCCCTGGGTACCAGGCCTCACATTTGTTCAATAATGTAGGTGGAGGTAGTTGTATGTTGCTATGATGAGGAAATGCCCCCGGGTAGGTTCTCTGTGTCTTTAGTCTTTTGACGAATCTGGCTGTGTTTTCAAGAGCCTGCCTCCCCACAACCCTCACTCTAGGGAGTGGTATGCACAAAGAACATAGGGGAGAAGAATAGTGGGCTAGAGGAACTTGAGAAAATGCGAAGATTTCTTTTAAAGGGGACAAAGGATCAGGTTGCTGTGTTGTCATTAAAAACATCAAACCTTCTTCTTCTTCTTCTTCTTTTTTTTTTTTTTTTAAAACAACCAGTTTTTAATACTCTAGTTGCACTGTGAAATCTTCCTTTTCTGCACTCTTGGGCAGTTAGAAATTTTCCCGTGTGCGGAGTTCACTGACTTTGAGTCTCAGAATGTATAGATGACTGCTGAGATAATGGAAATCAGTGCCCTACATTTAACCCGATCAGTCTCTTCCCATTTTTACTGGAGCCAAAGGAAATCATCATTTGAATAAATTACTGAAATCCCTGCTCCTGCCTTGTAGCATTTGGGTATCTGTGCCTGGTTTGTCATACTGGGAAATCCATGGGCATCTCCACAGCTTCCAGATCGCCTCCTGCCAGTTTTAATGCTATTCTTTTAGTTTTGTTCTTAGTTTAGAGAAAGATCCTTGTAATACATTTGTTAGTCTGGTTGCTTAGCAGCTTGCTGTGATTATGTAGCTTGGAACAGATACATTGCCATTTGAAAATCTTGGTTTCCGGCCCTGATTCAGGTATATGTTGCCTCCAAGCTTGGAGCTGAAAGCTTTTTGGCTATTAGGCCAATCATCATTTGAGTATAAATGAATAACTCTGTAGCATTTAGTAGAAAATATCTTTATGTTTATATATTCCTTTGTCCTTTGTGGTTTTTTTTTTTTTTAACCCTATCCCACCCTCATAGCTTATGGTACAATCTTATAAACATTATAAAATCACTAAACCGGGGCGCCTGGGTGGCTCAGTGGGTTAAGCCTCTGCCTTCGGCTCAGGTAATGATCCCAGGGTCCTGGGATCGAGCCCCGCATCAGGCTCTCTGCTCAGCAGGGAGCCTGCTTCCCCTCCTCTCTCTCTGCCTGCCTCTCTGCCTACTTGTGGTCTCTCTCTCTGTCAAATAAATAAATAAAATCTTTAAAAAAAATTATTTTTTTTAAAGATTTTATTTATTTATTTGACAGAGAGAGAGAGAAAGAGAGAAAGAGGGCAAGTAGGTAGAGCCACAGGCAGAGGGAGAGGGAGAAGCAGACTCCCTGCTGAGCAGGGAGCCTGGCTTAGGGCTCAGTCCCAGGACTCTGGGATCATGACCTGAGCCAAAGACAGATACTTAATCGATGGAGCCATCTAGGCGCCCCATAAAAGAGTTCTAAATTTTATTTAGATGCATGAAATAAGGACCTAGACTAGAATGTTGAAGGGTGATTTGGAGAAACACAAGAATCTTTAAATGGTATTTTTAAGGACATTCAGTTTTCAAATGAAATTTATTTTTTATTTCATTTCCTTGATAATTTTTGTAACGTCCAGTTGATGTCTTTTTTTCTTGTCTGTTAAATTAAGATCTTATTTCCTCAAAGTGTTCCCAGTTAAAGTCTATTCAGAACACAACTGTCTGTAAGGACACTGTTTTTCATGTAATATCAGCAGGGCTTTGGGGGGAATATGAAGTCTGAAATTCACCATACAGAACACAGTAGCAAATGATTTTTTCCTTTACCCTTCTAACTGTGAAGGTGGTGTATTGTCTCCTTGATGCCAGAATGTGGTACAACATAATCCTTTGCCTATACTTAGTATAAATTTATTAGACATAGTCCCTGCACACAGTCCAGCAGAGAGCCCTGCATTACAGAAATAATTCTTGTGCTGCTGAGCTGGCGATTTCCTCACTTAATCACTCGTGTGACGTCATCTGGGCTGTTGGTAGGAAATGTGCTGACCATGTCCTGTGTTTTAAAAGGCAGTTGCAATAGGGATACTAGCTAAAAATGAAATTAAAAATAAACCTTTTAAGTTCCATTGAAGGTCTTCAAAGTCCAGAAGGATTAAAGTGGCAAAGGCATTGTATTAATCAATAGACTAAGAACCACGTTTTATAGTTGGTCACCTAGTAATCAACTGACGTGCTTGTCCTTAATTGCTTTCCTCACAGCTCCAGAGTGACTGCAGACTGGAGGAAAAGAAGTAGGCAGGAAGGGGGTGTTATATTTGGAGGTTTGAAATGCTTTTCTGATTTGAAAATAACATTAAACATTCCAACTTTGTTTTTGTAATAAAGATCATACAAAACACCGATTGTTGGCTTGAGATCCTTATAATGGTAGCTACAAATGGAAGAGTCCAGATGTTAGTCACTGATGGCTGTAATGGATTGCTACTGAATCTTTTGTCTGGGGGAGAAGGCAGGACCCCTAATGTATATTTGATTTCTTGGCAGAAAGATGGATACGACGATGCTGAATTTGCGGAATCTGTTTGAGCAGCTTGTACGCCGGGTGGAGATTCTCAGCGAAGGAAATGAACTCCGTAAGTCATCCTGAGTTGGCCTGTGTGAAGAGAAAAAACAGCTTTCAGATCTGGGTTTTCTGCAAAGCTGACGTGTGTTCCAATCTTAAAATTGTTTTCATTTGGGCTTCCTAAAAAGAAAATGATGGTCATTTATCCATGGTTGGAGCTTAATGGACACTCATTCTAGCTGGTCACTTTTTTCCGGTAGTTGTTCTTAAGTGGGTGCCCCCAGATTTCTTTCGTTATCAAGAGTCTCTTTCCATTGACTACTTGGCATTAGTTGCCAGTTTCACTTTCACACCAAGAACTGGGTAAAATCTGAAGTTCCAAGGATGTTGCTTCTTTCTTTAGAGTAGTTGTTGTCTGTATTTTTTATCCTGGCTTTCCCTCTGTACTATAAAACATTTTCAGTTGAAGAGGAGAAACATGTCACAATTTCTTTTTGAAGAAGGGACTGTTCATCTGCTTTCACCTATTTCATGGATTTGATTTTTAGTAAGAGAGGATTGAAATTGGGTAGAGAGTTGGGGGGAAGAAGGAGGTGGTTGAGAGAATGGTGGTCTGGGAAGTAGATGCGTGAAGAAGAAGCGGGGGCTGATGGCCCTGACTTAAGTGATCTAAGGATTTATTTTTTCTCAGCTTTTCTTTGAGTTGCCATCGTCTTCCATTTGAGATTTTCATTAATACCTAATTTAGTAAGCGTTGCTCTTAAGTCAGCCTCATTGATATAAAAGTGAAGTAAGAACTGTCTCTCTAAGCTTTATTTATTTAGTTAGTTTTTAGATCTTCACAGTACTTAGTGTGGTGTCCTGCTTATGCCATTCAGCATTTTCTTTAATTTGATGTTTTTAATAGCTCTTATCCACTTATAGGCCTTTTAAGACAATATTCTATTTTCTCTTTCTTAATAGCTGTTGCATGACCCTATCATCTGATACCAGCTCAGTAACCATGATGGCATGCTAATTAGGCTCCTCTTTGAGGTCACATCATCTCAGAAGATGGATTGCTTTGGAGCCCAGTTGGGGGAAGAGTACTGAATGCGAGATCTTAAAATTCAGGCTCATTCAGCAAATATTTAGCAAGAACCTTATACAGCATCTAGCACATGTTGAGTTGAGGGAAAGGGATGACGGACTAAAATGGCTTCATGGACAAAAGTAGGGTGGAGCCATAATGGAGATCCCAACAGACACAGATGAAAGAGGGCATATAGGGTGGAAGCAAGCGGGGTTGGGGCTTGAGAGGGAGTAGGAATAAGGGGGGAGTGGCATAATCAGAGAGAGCTCTTGGAAGATGACCCTGGCGGAGGGGGAGGCTGGGAGACCAATGAGGATGTTGTTAGGCAGCAGGAGCTCTAACTAGAGTGGTGTTTGTGAAGCTGGAAATAAGGGGAAATGGGTAGAAGAGACTGTGATAATGAGAGCTCTACGAGGAGGCAGCTGATAGGATGTGGGGGAGAGGGAGGAATCTGAGGTTTGGAGTCTCAGTAACCAGTGTTGGCTTTTAACTTATTTCTGTGTCTGTTTCTCCATCTGTAAAATAGAAATTCAAGTGTCTTTATCTTTGTGGGAGTGCTGTGAGCATTTGGGAATAAAAACAAGATACTAGTTAGTTGTGAAAATACTTTGGAAGTAATTATGCCAAAAAAATTTAGATATGCTTACAGGTATCCTTATTTTATAAACACATTTCTATCTTCCCATTGATTCCCATTATAAAATAGAGGCATGTTTTGCCTTCCTCTCCGTATCTCTAACTTGGAATGTTGGCTTTGAGGACAGGGAGTAGGTTTATGTTTTCTGGACTCTAGAATCTCCTTTCTACAACCATCTCAGTCTCTGTCCTCTTCTTTGATCCTAGGAATTCCTTGCATGGCTAAGTATCCTGACTCCTTATTCTAGTCTTTCATGAGTCACTTCATTCTTCTCTCTCCTTTTTGTATAGGTTTGTTCATGTTTTGTTTTTAGCTAAGTCCAGGGTTCCTGAAAGATCAAAATGAAGGTTAATATTCAAATAAAATGACTTTAATAACCTTATCTTTGATTTCCCTGGTCTACATTGTTTTTATCTTCTATTTTTATTTTATTGTGAGCTGCCCCAAACTTTTTTTTATGTTGTTGCTGTGTAAATTGGGAATAAATATAACTTAATATTTATCAGGTATCTGTTGTGTGCCAAAACAATGCTGGGTTTGTGTTATGCTGTCTACAGTAGGTGATACTACAGTGTCTATGACTTAATGCCTTTCTTCAAGAAGATCATGGTTTTTAAGTTTCAGAGATCGATTTCTTATGAAACAAGATAATACAAGTACCAAAATATGTGCTTTTGGGAAGTATAGAAAAATGTAATGTGGAACAAACAGATTAGGAAGGGATTTATAGAACAGATGGGACTAGAAGAATGGATACATAAAGAAGAGTGTAGGTAGAGCATTCTGTTTGGAGTACACAGCTTGATCACAAGGGAGAAGGCAGAAATAAGCATGGGTCTGTTCTGGGAGCAGGGACAAGAAAGAGTATTGTGTAGTGGTGGGAGGTTAAGTTTGAATAGACTGGTGAGGTGGGCTTGGACGCCTGGAGTTTAAATTTGATCTGAACAGCAATTCTTCATTTATTTGTTCAATGGATATTTAAGTGCCTACTGTGTGCTACAAGGCACTGGAGAGAAAAAAGAGACCCAGTGCCCTTCCCCTTCCCCTTTCTAAGAAGCTTAGAGAGTGGTGGGGAAAACAAAAGGAAGAGCCTGTGCATAGGCCCCAGGAGGAGAGAGCTGGGATCTCTCTGGGATGGTTTTGGGATGCTTTTAATCTATTTGCTGAACTATGGGATGGTTTTAATCTATTTGCTGAACTATGAACCAAATCCTCGGTTTTTGTTGTTGTTGTTTGTTTGCTTGTTTTGTTTTTAATGAATCAGAGATTATCCTCAATTTGTTTTAAGGAAATTTCCCTTAATTCCTTTTTTTTTTTTTTTTTTTTTTTTTAAGATTTCATTTATTTGACAGAGAGAGCACAAGCAGACAGTCGGGAGTGACAGTCAGAAGGAGAGGGAGAAGCAGGCTTCCCACAGCAGAGGGAGCTGATGCGGGGCTCAATCCCAGGACCCTGGGATCATGACCTGAGCTAAAGGCAGATGCTTAACCAACCGAGACACCCAGGCACCCCCCTTCATTCCTTTTTAATAGATGCATTTCATAGTTTAATATACATAACTTTTTAAAGGAGGTAATTTGAAGTTAATTAATCTTTTGAAGGGGCTCCTGAGTGGCCCAGTTGGTTAAGCGTCTGCCTTCGGCTCAGGTCATGATCCTTGAGTCCTGGGATCGAGCCCCACATCGGGTTCCCTGCTCAATGGGGAGTCTGCTTCTCCCTCTCCCTCTCCCCCTGCTCATGCTCTCTCTCTCTCTCTCAAATAAATAACATCTTTTAAAATTTTATTTTATTTTTTCAGTGTTCCAAGATTCATTGTTTATGCACCACACCCAGTGCTCCATGCAATACATGCCCTCCTTAATACCCACCACCAGGCTCACCTAACCCCCCACCCCCTCCCCTAAATAAATAAAATCTTAAAAAAAAAAAAATCTTTTGAATATGTACTTCATGATGGGGGCTAGTTCCAAGTTGGAATCATGATTCACAAACTGACCCTGAAAATGCTCTGTTTATTGATCTCCAATATCAGAATTTTTCTGATGATCTAATGTGCTGTTTTGACCCATCCTAGCAAACTTAATTCATAACAGAATTATACCTAAGTAATATTTTAGGTATGCAAATATTCTGGTTTTGGTCTAGCATAAACCAAGTTGAACTAATAATTGAATCATTCATACTATTAAAATAGGAACTCTTTCCTGGAAATGAACTGATACATTTTTTGGTTTGAGTTCCATCGTCCAATTCAATTAGACTTATAATATATACCAGTTAACAACGAATAGGGATTAAAACCCAAATTTAATAAGGTTTATCAAGAAGGAGTGTCCTTGGAGTGCCTGAGTGGCTCAGGTCCTGGGTCCTGGGTCCTGGGTCCTGGGATGGAGCCCCACATTGGGCTCCCTGCTCAGCAGGGAGTCTGCTTCTCCCTCTGCCTCATCCCTCCCCGCTGCTCATGCTCTCTCTTTCAAATAAATAAATAAATAAAATCTTAAAAAAAAAAAAAAGGAGTATTCGAAGGAACAAAGAAGTGAGCAAAATTAGGTCCAGTGGAAATCTTTTCATTCTCAAAATTGTTTTTCAATTCAGTAGATATTTGAGTGTATATAAATATAGTGTATACAGCACTATATTTAGAAACATTTAATTGACCACAGTGTGGAGCTAGAAAGTTTTAGATGTGTGGTTGAAAAGTGTATTTCTTGTTCTTTATTTTTTGAAATTGAAGTACTATTACATACATCAGAAAAGTACACAAAAGTGCAGTACTTGATGAATTGCCAGAGTGAACATGGTAAAGAACCAGCTCTTTAAAAAAAAAATGTTGTGACTCTACATTGTTGAAATAGTTAAATTGGCAAAAGGATATGTTGTTTTCTTTTTCTTTAAATTAAGAAGGAAAAAAATTTATGTGTTTTAAACAAAACGAACACACTATTTAAAGCTATTTGAATTGTAGCCATATATACATATATATATATTCTGTGTGTGTATGTGTGTGTGTGTGTATATATATATATATGTATATGTACACTTAGCTTTCATAGTTGCATTCTCTAAGATAATTAGGTCATAATATCCTGTTCTGCTAAAACCTTTTGTTTGTTACAAACTGAAGTGTCCTTATGTGTGAGACTTGCTTTCTCTAGATTGAATTGGCATCCTAATTTGTAAGTTTGAAGTTTAGTCAAATTATTAAGACTGGAAGGAGCACTATATTCATTGTTTCTATGCTCTTAGGTTAAATTGAAATAAGAAAAGTGCCCTTACTACCCAAGAATCTGCAAGCTTTGTGTGCCTGTGGCCTAGTTTCAGCTGTAAACTGGGTTAGTTTGGCCAGCAGCAGATGTACACCTTGGGAACTTCCTCTGTGAAGGTGGTGTGGAGTGATGCCTAGAGCTAGATCCAAGGTAACGAGAAAATAAGAAGGCAGTGTAGAACAGTCTTTGCCAATAGCAGGTGGCAAGCATGAATGCCACCAGGGTTATCGTGCTTCATAGCATGGCGTTGGAAGTGATGCTTTCTCTGCAGACATGTGGAAAGAGTCCACATTCCGCCATCAGTGACTCACCCTAGGTTAGTATGATCTGTTCTTACTGTGTCTTTCCCATTGAAATGTTTATACACCCTTCAGGGCAGTGTTAAACAGCACTAGCAAATTGGCTCTTTACTTTCAAATCAATATTTGTATAATTATATAGTTGAATGGAATTGTAGGCCTAGACATCTATAATATTAATCTACATCTACTGGAGCATATTACAGCAGTTATATTTGAATTTGCTGTTTAACGTCTCTTTGGCGCAGCAGTGCGTGACTCGAAAGGAGGCTGTTTTTGTTTTATAGCTGTAACTGTCCTGGTGCGTGACAGCTGCCCCAGAGGTATCCGCCTTTGATTGCCTTCTGTTCAGGAGCTTTCAGTGTTGGTATTACATCTGGAGCCAGGTGACTGATGAGTTACTTATTCCATAGCAGATGCCACTGGCCAAGCCAAAGGAGGTGGCCTATCGAAACAGGAATTGCTCTCCACAAAGCTGCCATGCAGGGTGATGAACGGATATCCAGGATCTGCTCCTGGTTATATTCAGCTGGCTTTGCCGAGAGTTTAGCTGGTCCCTTCATTATATACTTGGAGGAAAACTAACTAGAGGACTCAGTCATTAGAGCCTTGGTACTGTGTCTGGTGCTGGAGTTATTGAAGTTTCCCCCTTTCCTCAGAATTCATCCAGTTGGCAAAGGACTTTGAGGATTTCCGTAAAAAGTGGCAGAGAACAGACCACGAGCTGGGGAAGTACAAGGATCTTTTGATGAAAGCAGAGACTGAGCGTAGTGCTCTGGATGTTAAACTGAAGCACGCACGCAATCAGGTGGATGTCGAGATCAAACGGAGACAGCGAGCTGAGGCTGACTGCGAGAAGCTGGTGTGTATTGTTCTCTACCCTAGAGCCCAGCTAGTGGAGGGAGGGCCAGCATCATCTGGTCCTGTTTCCACCCCCCAGTTATACTGAGTTTCTTCTTCCACGTTAAAGAACTAAAAGCAGCCTGTCCATTGACAAGTTGGCCTTGATTGAAGCTGAAATTGCAGCATAGGAATCCTGTCCTTCATAGGCTGAAATTTAATTTTTTCTCTTCTTGACTTAAAACTATGACTTCATAGATTTCAGATGAGGATTTTTAAAGAATTAAATTAGGGAATTCCTAGCATGCTTGATCTGTCGCAAGATGTTGGCTATCTCTCATGCCACCCAGAATACCCTCATCCTTTTGTCAATAGCTAGTATTTGTTATTGAGACAGACAAGACAACTCTAAGGTTTTCCATCATTACTGCTCCTGATTCAGGGGAAGGGGTGAGATGTAGTCAGCCAGCTGAGCAATGTGACTAACGTGGAACACTATCATTTTGGTGTACCAGGGTGGGTCATGGTACAAAGGAAAGCCTTTATGAGGAGCCACTAATCCATCTTGGTACAGTGTTAAATGCCTCAGTAAGCTCAAATTGACTGGTTCCAGTGTGTCACAGCTTTGCATCCATTTTAATGCATTTCGCTCCACCCTTTAGAAAGGTGGGTGGCTGCTTTGATCCATAGAGGAAGCCAATAATTGTCCTGATAAAATGACACTAAATTGTTTTTCCTACACGAAATTCTGTTTTGGGACTCTCATTTTGCAATACCGTCTTGGATTAGCTCCTTGACCCAAAAGTCTTATAGCAGAAAGCCCACTATTCTGGTTGGAGTTCATTTTGCCAGTCAGAAATCAGAGACACAATCTGGGCTTGATGTGAATTAATATGCTATTGGTGTAGCAGCTTCCTGAAGTCTCATTTGCATAACGCTGTGTTTTCATGTCCTCTGGTCTGCCCGTCCCATAAATTCGAGGTGAAGCCTTCTCCCCTGGTTAGTTAGGATGTTTTACTCTGCTTTGGTCTGCAGGAAAGACAGATTCAGCTGATTCGAGAGATGCTCATGTGTGACACATCGGGCAGCATTCAACTAAGCGAGGAGCAAAAATCAGCTCTGGCTTTTCTCGGCAGAGGCCAGCCGTCCAGCGGCAATGCTGGGAACAAAAGGTGGGGAAGTCGCGTCTGTTGTTATCTGATCACGAGCAGGGCAGCTGTCAGAAGTTCTTGTTATCTGAACTCTCAAATAGACTGCTTCTGGAATGTGTGCTGAATAAAGCAGAAAAAGGCTTTGGAGGAAGGGTGGGTGGGAAATAAAGGCATAGGCACAGGGGCCTCCCGATTTCTTTTATCTTCTTTTGTTTTTGATCTTTCCTTAGGATAATTGTTTCACCATGGGTAAAATTTTGATGTTGATGCAAAATTGCACATCAGTAACTAATCCCACTCATTGCTAAGAAACCTAAAGGTGAAAGTGGCATTTCAGCAGTACTTTCAGCATTTACTCTCCAGAGAGCTCTTGTAGCTCTTCTGGTTTAGAAGGCCTTCTGTGAGTCAAGACCAGACAATAATTTTGGTTCCACTGCATCACTATTTAAAATTGTCTCTACCAGGCTTTGAATTTAACATCCCCAATACAGTATGGAGGGAAAGGTCAGCACTCTTCCAGCTATTTATTTTGTTGCCTGGTTGTTTTATGGGGAATCTTTATAACTGAGAAAATATATGGGCTTAATTTCTTCAAAAGCTGATGCTGGGTAACACTCTTTCTTTTAGAAAGCAACCACAATTGGGATCAGATTAAACTTCACTCTTGTGCCTGTGAATTTCTAGTAGCCTTTTTGGCGAGAAGTAGCACTCCTGCTCCTGTCCGTAACTTTCAACTGCTGTTGGGAGGTCTTTGCCAAAAAGCAGCTGTGCTGCGTGTGTCCTCACGAACGCACAGCCGCTCTCTCCCATGGAAACCACAGCAAGCAGCCACCATGGCTAGGCTTTGAACTTGTAGTTGTCTCCATAGGAAGGCACTGCTATGAAATTGCTGGTGTTACGTGACCAATGCGACTCATTCTGGGCGTTCGTGCGTTTTACTTGCCACGGTCTTCTGTATCTAATACTGTGTTGTTTCTCTCATCTAGATTATCAACTATTGATGAATCTGGTTCCATTTTATCAGATATCAGCTTTGATAAGACTGACGAATCGCTGGTAATAAATGATTGATCTCTGAGGATTGTTTATTTTTCTTACCCCTGCTCCCTCAGGTCTCTCTCTCCTGTCCTCTCTTCTGGAATTCCTTTATTGCTGTTTTGTTTGTTGATGTATTACAGATTCTGAGCTAGCATTTTATTAATTAGTTAATTTATTTAAAGATTGTATTTACTGATGAGGGAGAGCAAGACAGCATCTGGTGCAGGGAAGAGGCAGAGGGAGAGGAAGTGTCTTTAAGCAGACTCTGCCCTAAGTGTGGAGCCAGACCCTGAGGTCACGACCTGAGCCGAAACCAAGAGTCAGACACCAAACCAACTGTACTGCTCAGGCGCCCCTGAGCTCGCATTTTAAAATAAAAATCCACACAGGCTATAAGAGACTGGCTTATATATTTAGTTTCTGGAAGTGAGAATATAGAACTCAGGATTTGGGATGAGGTTAAATTTATTTAACGGATCTGTGAGCTGCATGTGCTAATTGACTGTATCTTGGCTTATTAAAAAGCCCTAGCTAGCAATAAAAAAAAAAAAAAATTATCAAGATTCTACCCAGGCATGGTTTATTTGCTGCTCTTGGAGAGAATAGACTTGTGCGTTATTTCAGAATTAGTTTGGTTCTTAAAGAAAACTTCGTCATACTTCATAATTAGAAGGAAACCAGTGCTCTGGGACTTCAGCCAGAAGACTGACATGGTTTCTAGGTCCTCTGTAATGCTTTGTTCAATACCAATTGCCTGGTCTAAACTTCTTGCTACCCCGCTTTTGTGGGCAGCACCCTTTTCTTAACTTCCGGTGGTGTTTCTGTATAAGTCATCTCCTGATATCTCAGTCTTTGATGTTCAAACTTCGATGGTTTATTGGTTTGTGTATCTTTCCTGTTGTACTGGCTGAAAGCTAGCAACAAAGCAATAAATCAGGAGGTTATTTGTGGTCGGTTTTCTGATAGTGAAACAAGTGGTGACTACTGGTTACGTAGGCTAGGAGTGTTCTGTCCCAAATCAGTGTTTGGGGAAATCATTGCCATTTTACAGATATAAATAGTAAGTATCCCCTTTTTGAAATAAGGAAGGATATGAATAGGTCTGGAGTATAGGATAAAACTAGAATGTTTTAATAGCTGATTTTGGAGCTAGACCTACTTATGGTGTATCTGTTGTAACCCAAACTGAATCAAATAATCAGTAGCTAAATTAAATTACTTGACCAGGAATTGTAGAGATTTCAGTTAGCTAAGCTACCATTTGCTCTGTACTACTGTTTCTGGGTTTTGTGTTTTCAGGGATTATCAGGAGTAAGGAAGTCACATGAATGTAAATGGTTAAAATAAGTGAAATGAAACTAGACTATGGTAAAAAATGTAATTCTTCAGGGGTGAATGTCTTTGTTGGGGCCCAAGGAAGAGGGATGTTTGAGAAATGTAAAACCTGAACTAGAACTTTTTAAGTGGTTACATTGTACAGAACGTCTGATTAGATAGCAGTCCCTTAAGAGTAAGAAAGACATCTAACCTGATCAGTATAGTGCCTGAGATTCTGTGAGTTCTACAACTAATTACAGAAATAGTCAGAAATAAAGGACAAGGAGCTGGAGATAATCACGACAGAAGTTGATTCTTTAACCTTTTCTTGCCTCTGTGGTATTGACTCCTGACTCTATTATAATAGCTTCAATTTTGGAAAGAAAGCAAGTTAACTTACTGTAGCTCCATAGCTACAGCACCCGAGACCCTCCCTTCGCCCTCTCCCCAAATTATAAGTTAGGCAGTCTGACTCAAAAAGCCTTTAAAGTTCTCTGTAAACTTATTTCCACAAAAATTCCTGTCTGGGGTTTTTGCCTCATCACAGAAATTAATACATTATAATTGTCAACAGGATTGGGATTCTTCTTTGGTAAAGACTTTCAAACTGAAGAAGAGAGAAAAGAGGGTACGTATGGTTTTGTTTCGTTTTTGTTGTTTTTACAAAATTACAATAAAGGGGTTTTCTCTAGAAATTTTTCCATGATAGAGCATTCCTGACATGTAGCTCTGACCATTGTTAAACACCTATTACAAGTGAATTCCTGCTGGGGGTCATTATGGAGGATCCTCGAGGTAGTAACTCAGGACAGTCTTGTCCTAGTTCACTGTTCTGGCTGCCTCTGGAGTAAAAAAGGATATACTTGAGTTTGTTTTGAGTTGTCATAAGGAATTTTTACGCAGGACTTTGTACTCTAATATAATTTTCAGATGAAATATGTGTATAATGGGATAGGCCGAGCTGTGTCTGTGTGTGCTTGTTTAGGGTACTTAATATGTGTCCAAAGACATATTGTCCTTGGATAGGATTACACCTCTACTTTTTCTGGTGCTGTCACCTAAAATTTTCCAAAGCTTGCTTGTTTCTTTTAGGGCACTGAGGGCATTTTTGTGTTGGTACAACTTAAGCTTCATGTGGAAATAGAATGAGAGAGAGCATATTATTATTTACCATAGCCCTGGTATCCAGGACTTGCACCCAAGTTGTCCAATGGAATAATTTTATCTTCTGTGCTTCATATCTTCTATGATGCTGAACTTCTTGATCTTTGTCTCCTTTCCAGCGCTCTAGTAGCCGACAGTTCATTGATGGTCCCCCAGGACCTGTAAAGAAGACTCGTTCCATTGGCTCCACAGTAGACCAGGTAAGAATAGGCCAAGAGAATTGTGGTTGTGAACACATCAGAGGTTAGTGGCCCCAACCATTAAGAATGCTAAGTCAAGGGGCGCCAGGGTGGCTCAGTCGGTTAAGCATTTGACTTTGGCTCAGGTCATGATCTCAGGGTCCTGGGGTCAAGCCCCATATTGGGCCCCTTGCTCAGTGGGGTGTCTCCTTGTACCATTCCCTCCTCTTCAGCGCCACCCCCAACCCTTGCTGCCCCCGGCTTGTACTCTGTCTCTCTCTCTCTCAAATAAATAAATACATAAATAAATAAATAAATTAGAATCCTGAGTCAACGCTGCAATGTTATTTTGAGAGAGAGATTTGGTGAGTTTTTCTATGTAATAATAGGATCCTTATCATCCATATGAATGGAATCACTCTGATTGAGTAAACAACTGTCAGCTTTATATTTGATTCTTAGTTTATTGTTGTGTATGCCTCTGTGACCTATATTTCTGTTCTAAAGTATGAGGTTTCAATTGAGTTTTTTTGGGCTTGGGCCATAAATCCTGACCAAGATTCAGGGATTTTTCAACCACTCCAAAATTACCTTATAGTGGTGAGGATATTAGGTTCACTTGTTTGTTCTTCCCTCATTTCTGCTTTTGTTTCAGGGGAATGAATCCATAGTTGCAAAAACTACAGTGACTGTTCCCAATGATGGCGGGCCCATCGAAGCTGTGTCCACAATTGAGACTGTGCCATACTGGACGAGAAGCCGAAGGAAAACAGGTCCACTGAGTCTGTAGCTAAATTGCCTGTGTAAAACAACTGGTAAAATTCAGGGACACTTGGCTTTTTAGAACCCTTTGAGGCAGGGATTGGATATTGTGGTTAGTTTCTTGCTGCTGCTTACTGGAGGCCAGAACACTGTGTCATATTCTACCTTTGGATTGCTGGCCTGGTCTGTGCCACTCACACATAATATGTTATTTATTTGGGAAGGGAGAGGCAGAGGGAGAAGATCTTCAAGCAGACTCCCCGATGAGCATCGAGCCCACACAGAGCTTGGTACCACGACCCATGAATCGTGACCTGAGCCGAAATCAAGAGTCGGATGCTCAACCGACGAAGCCACCCAGGGGCCCCATTATTAACTCATTATTCTTGAACTGATTTTTCTGCATAGCCATTGTAGTCACTTCTGATTATGGTTACAAATTACTGGTTATGTACCAGTTATATTAAAATTGGGGTTAAAATTCAGAAGGAACAAAATATTAAGAAGCCTAAAGTTGCTTGTTTTCTAGGTACATTACAACCTTGGAATAGCGACTCCACCTTGAGCAACAGGCCTCTGGAGCCAAGGACTGAGACAGAGAGTTCTGGCACTCCACAGAGCAATGGAGGGATGCGCTTGCATGACTTCGTCTCTAAGACGGTAGATCTGTGATCGTTCTGTCTTCTTTCGGGCACACTTAATTTTTTGATTGTGAAAGTAGTATATACCAGGAACAGATTTAAATAACTTAGTGTTAGAAAGTTAAATGTCAGATCTCCTTCTTTCAGTTCCACTCCTCAGAGCTAACTACTGGTTACAGAGGATGTGTAGATCTTTGTATTCTGTGAATATATTACGTTAAAGCAGCTTTAAAACAGAAGCAATTGCTTATGCTTTTTAGTGATACATATTTACGTAGTATGGTTGGATATAGCAGCACACTTTACCTTTGTCTCATTGGATTTCCTAATATAAGCCCAAGCAACCTGACTGAGGTTCAGAAGAGTTAACTGCCTTGTGTGAGCCACAGGACAATAAGTGGCAGAGTTAACATGGAGTTTTTGTGGCTCCTCATCAACAGGTTCTTTCCACCATTGTACACTGCCGCCTTCCAGCTGGGTGACCTTACGCAAATTACACAGCCTCTTTTGCCTTTCCTTAAAGATCAAAACCTATGTTATAGGATTATTGTGAGAATTATACAAGTATGTGTAAAGGGATTAGGAAGTTGCTTGGCACATACCAAGTGCTTAAAAAATGCTGGTTGTTGATGATGATAATTTTCTAATTCAGACCCCTCTGTTATTTCTGTCCTCTTTTGTCCTCAGGTTATTAAACCTGAATCTTGTGTTCCATGTGGAAAACGGATAAAATTTGGCAAGCTGTCTCTGAAGTGTCGCGACTGTCGTGTGGTCTCTCATCCAGAATGTCGGGACCGCTGTCCCCTTCCCTGCATTCCTACCCTGATAGGAACTCCTGTCAAGATTGGAGAGGTAGGACCTATAGGGTCTGTCCTTGTATTATGACTTCTTTACCTTTTTCAAAGCTTAATGTCAGTTTTTATAATAAAATTAGTGATGTCAAGCGTAGTTTTTCCACAAATGATGAAGAGAAATGATAAAATGTTAACTCGCAGCCTAGTCCTGCTTGGGTTTGTCTGTTTAGTAACTTTTCTACACCAGACTTCTCTTCCCTTCCCTCCTTTCACCTTCTCCCATCTTCCCTACTCATCCTCTCTCCCTCCTTTCCTTCCTCCTTCTTCCCTCCCCCTTCCCCTTCCTTTCCTCCTCATCTTTTCCTTCCCCTCCACATCCTATTCCTGTTTTGTAAAATTCCAAACATGTGCTGAAGTAGAGATTAGGATGACTGACCCCTGGTTCCTATCACTCAACTTCTGTGATTGCCAGTTCATGCCCAGTCCTGATTTATCAGTACCCCGTGTTGTCCTCCTGGCTCTGTCCAGTGAATTATCCTGACACAAATCCCAGCCATCGTGTAATTTCATCTGTGAACGTACTTCCTTTTATGTTAGAAGTATCCTATACTAAGCTGTTAAGATTAGATTGATTATTTCTAAAAACTGATTCAATCTATTAAGTATTTATTTATTATATGAACAACATTAACAAGATTCAGAATGAATTGATTATGCTGCTCCCGAGCCCCTAGCAAATCAAATGCTACTTTTCTTTAATCTTAACAGTTCTTATTCGTGCATGTAATTGGTTACAGATTTTCTTTACTCTGATAAAGAACCATGGAGTTCTCCCCTACAGATAGGTTTGTGTCCCGATCAACTGTGAGTTGTGTTAAATAATTTTTCTTACTAAGAATAATTAAAGGGTTAAAAAAGGTTTTTGTTTTTGTTTTTGTTTTTTTAGAATAATTAGTTCATATTAAACCCATACCTGTAATCTCATTATTGCTTGCTTTCTGAAGCCCTTGAGTAGAGGACAAGCGGGGGCAGAGTTGTAGCTAGTGGTCTTATTACTTGTTCATGCAAGAGTGTGTATATGTGACCATAAATCAGTCCTGTTGTGGTTGTAGGAAAAATATAGCTGAGAATCTCTGTTCTAATATATGCTTTGGGAATAGGAATTTAAAAGTAGACATGAGGTCCCAGCCTGAGTATTAGTTTGGGGATGGTTCTTTCTACTCGCCTTGATTTGCTGGTCGAAGTGGTATAAATAATAATTTAAAACTCTCCCTTTTCAGGGATTGCTAGCAGATTATGTGTCTCAGACTTCTCCAATGATCCCCTCCATTGTTGTCCATTGCGTAAATGAGATTGAGCAGAGAGGGCTGACTGAGGTAAGAGTCAACCTTCAGGGGTGCCTGGGTGGCTCAGTTAAGCCACCCAACTCTTGATACTGGCTCAGGTCCTGATCTCAGGGTTGTGAGCCGGAGCACATATCCGCCTCTGAGGCCAGCATGGAGGCTGCTAAAGGTTCTCTCTCTCCCTCTCCTTTTGCCCTGCTCCTTCCCGCGCCCCACCCTCAACTCTCCCTTTAAAAAAAAAAAAAGTCTACCTTCAGAGAGTGTGGATTTGTTGTTTTTGTTAATAATTAGTTTGTAACTGGAAGTGTCCCCTCGATAACAGACAGGCCTGTACCGGATCTCTGGCTGTGACCGGACAGTGAGAGAGCTGAAAGAGAAGTTCCTCAGAGTGAAAACCGTACCCCTCCTCAGCAAAGTGGATGACATCCACGCTGTCTGTAGCCTCCTGAAGGACTTCCTCCGAAACCTCAAAGAACCCCTTCTGACTTTTCGGCTAAATAAGACTTTCATGGAGGCGGCGGGTAAGAGTAGATCTTATACTCGAATGTGAGTCCCACGGGGGCAAGAATGTTTGACTCTTGCGTGCGCTGCCCAGTACAGTGCCTGTGCCCGTGTGGACACGCACGCGCTCTGATGGAAGAATGTATCCATGTTCTCGGTGCCTGTCCTCTTCCTGTCTAAACTATGGGTACTGATGGGGTTTTTTGTTGTTTTAGGTCGAGTTTAGGGCTGTCCTTTTGAACTTGGAGCCAATCCCCACACATTTAATCCATTAACAAATCTTTTCAGCAAAGCTCTTGTAAAATTTATCTTAAAATTGAAATTTGCCACTCCTACTATTACCACTCTTGACATCTCTCATCTTGGAATGACAAGAGAACCTACTTATTTTCCTCTTTCTATTCTCAGCCCTCTACACTATGATCCTCAAACAGTATCTAGAGGGGTCCTTCTAAAATTTAAATTAGATGAAGTCTCTTCTGTCCTTATTATTCCCCAGTGACTTCCCATCACTCTCAGAATAAAACCCACCAGTCCTTCACATGGCCCCAAAGACCCCACCTGTAGGATTCGGCTCCTGTTACATCTCTAGCATTGTTTCTCTCAACACCCTTCCCTTCTTTCTTCCCTGATGCGCTGGAATGCTTGCAGTTCTCAGAGCATAACCAAGCTTACTCCCCTCTCAAGACTCTTGAATTTGTTATTGTCTCAGCCTGGAATGTATTTGCATGATTTGCTCCTTTATTTCTTTCAGGTTTCTTTTTGTCCTTGTACCTTTGTACCTTTGTCCTTTGTACCTTGTACCTTGTACCTTTGTACCTTGTCCTCAGAAACACCTTTCCTGATCACCTTGTCTAAAATACGTCCACCCATTACTTTCTAGTTTCTACTATGTAGCACTACCTGCTACCTGCTTTTTGACTAATTCCTCCAATAGAATGTGAGTTCCATGAGGCAAAGTCTTTGTTTAGTTCTGCTTTACCTGAGCACTTAGAATAGTACCTGGTCCATAGTAGGCCCCTGACCACGGTTTATAAACGAACACCTTCTTGTAACTGCAGTCGCTGCAGTTGTGTGCCTGCCTTCCCGGCACGTGGGTTGCTAGCTGCTTTCCCTAACTGCAGGAGCTGATTTTTTTTTAAAGGTTCTGATTTCTAATATTGAGCTGTGGGCCAGTGTCCTGCTTGTTAATGAAACTGGAGTTTGATGCAGTCATGAACCTCATCAGAAGTTCCAGAAGCTTACTGTATAGAAAAGACTTTGTGGTCGATCACTTGGAAGCACGCTGTCAAGGGAAAGAAGTCTAGGCCTCTTGGTGTTTTCTTTTCATTTACAGAAATCACAGATGAGGACAACAGCATAGCTGCCATGTACCAGGCTGTTGGTGAACTGCCCCAGCCCAACAGGGACACATTAGCTTTCCTCATGATTCACTTGCAGAGGTGAGTACAACAGAAACTCACTTCTGGGAGTTTGGGAATTTGCCACGGGGAACATAATGTGGGTTGGGTGTTAGAGAGGGAATGTGAAGGGTGAAATGTTTTCTGATAGATCTTTTTTTTTTTTGGTCTGTGTTTAAGTGGAAGAGAAAGTCTTCTAATTAAATGCTCTGTTTCTTAGAGTGGCTCAGAGTCCAAACACTAAAATGGACGTGGCCAATCTGGCTAAAGTCTTTGGGCCCACCATAGTTGCCCATGCTGTGCCCAATCCAGATCCAGTGGTAATGTTGCAGGACATCAAGCGTCAGCCCAAGGTAGGCAAGTGCCCTTTGTATATATACATACACAAAAAAGATATATATGTGGAGAGAGATATATATATATCTCTCTCTTATGTGATGTGATAACATGAGAAAGCGCTAAGAGGTAAGCCCTGAGCTTCGGAATGTGCATATATGTATATAAAAGATATATATGTATATGTGTGTGTGTTTATGTGTGTGTGTATATATATGTGGAGATATATATATATATATGGATTTGGGAAGAGGTAAGCCCTGAGCTTTGGAAGTGCACTAACCTGTTCGGTGGCTGTTTAGGTGGTAGAGCGCCTGCTTTCCCTGCCCCTGGAATACTGGAGTCAGTTCATGATGGTGGAACAAGAGAACATTGACCCCATGCATGTAATTGAAAACTCAAATGCCTTTTCAACACCACAGACTCCGGATATTAAAGGTAAGGCCCAAGTTGTGTTTCCTAAGAGACCTGACTCCCTCTCTGGTTTTGGCCACGTACCCTCTCCCTCCCTTTGCTAGAGCTGTTTGGAATTCAAAAATTAAATTCATTATGAGGATTCTAACATTAAAAGAAAATTTATACAGCTCTACCATCCTGACTTTTTTTCACTTTAATGGAACGTGGTTCTCCTTTTCCTTCTACATACGGATATTTTAGAAATAGAATAACAATTCAGATATAATTTGATCTTCTTTCACTTAACATACTGGGAAAACTTTTTCTATTACCATATAATTTTATCATTTTTATGGTTGTAAACAGGAATTTACTTTAACATGTTCTATTAGGAATTGATGTTATTTTTGAATTTTCCATAGTTACTAATAATGCTGACATCAGCATTATAGGTATATATCTCTGTTTCCCCCGCTGTTAAATTCCCAGGAGTGGGAACTGCTGAATTAAAGGGCTTGAACATTTTTTTGTTTTACCAACTTGATTTCTTAAAGGCTTTTGCCAATTTGTATTGCCAGCAAAAATGTCTGAAGTTGGTTTCTTCCAACTTTACTGGCATTGGAGACTAGACCTCTCATTTTTGTAGGATCCTTTTTAAGAAAGAATGTTGTTTTTTCCTAATGTAGGTAAGAATCGGGTGGTTAGACATTAGATTTGTGAATGCTGGAATTTGAGAATGGCTTAAATCAGGAAGCATATGTCAGCTGTTCATTGAGCAGTTGCCTGCATAGAAGATATACTGATCTGGCATAGAAGATATACTGATCTGTTATAGACGATGACAAAAATGATCTCTGGGACTTTGCTTGGGTCTTTAACCTTAGCTCTTAAGGGCTTCACGGGGTATTTGGCTTAAAACTGGCTGCCCACAAGGGTGCTTTTCTTTTTGCCCTTCCCTTAAAAATATCTCTGAACTTTGATTGAAGTGAGTTTACTGGGGCCCGTGACCACTCCTGAGCATCAGCTCCTCAAGACTCCTTCATCTAGTTCCCTGTCGCAGAGAGTGCGCTCCACCCTCACCAAGAACACCCCCAGGTACGTGAAACTGCCTGGCCTGGGAACGGAAGAACTCTTCCCAGCATACCGAAGCTTACTGAAGGGGAAAGGATGAGACCTTCAGCTAGCAGCTAGCCTTTAAAAGTAACCTGGAGCCATAATGATCCCTTTTTGAAAAGGGTCTAAGGGTTTTGTTTCCCCTCTCTCATCGCAGACGACAAAGAGTAGTTTGCAGAATAGTTGTTGAGGGTTTCCTATTTTTAGCTGATAATACTGAGTAATGTTAGAGTTGTTTATTTACCTACTTTTCATGGAATGCTTTTTCGGTTCATTCTCTGTAGATTTGGGAGCAAAAGCAAATCTGCCACCAACCTAGGACGACAAGGCAACTTCTTTGCTTCTCCAATGCTCAAGTGAAGCCCTGTGTCCTGTTGCTTGCCAGCATTTACTGACTGCAAGGAAGGCCGCACCTTCTCTCCGCAGCCTCTTGTACTCATTACTACTTTTAGCATTCTCCAGGCTTTTAATCAAGTTTAATTGTGCACGGGGGTTTTATTAAAACTATATATATCTCCCTCTCTTTCTCCTCCGGTAATGTATTATCAACACCTTGTGCTGTCGTTGTTGGGAGCTTCTAGATGGGAGATCTTTATAGTGGTAGAAGGGAGAATATGGAGTTCATTGTGATTTTGCGGGGGAGGGAGGCTGGAGTGGACCCATCCCTCTGGCTTAAAACCGAACGCTGCTCATGGACTGATCTTTCTTTGGTATTATTTAGAACTAATTTCCCTGAGACAATGACAGAAGCCCCACCTCTTTGGTAAGACTGATATCTCAGGGTGGTAGGTGGGAGGGCAGGGTAAAGAAAAGTTGGACAGAGGATTTAGGATGGTTCCTTCTGAGGACTTGGAGGTCCCCTTCCCCCAGTATGAATTAAGGTGTAACGTGGAGCCTTCATAAAAATGGGATAGGACGAGGACAGAACTAGCGATGGGGGTGTGCTTAGCTTTGATTCAGATTGATTAGGTTTAATATTGTTAAGTGGCACAACCTTGTAAAAGTGATACTACAGCTTGAGTTGATCTCTAATGGGCTTCTGGCTGGACTTTGGATTTGGTTGGGGTCAAAGCTGGTTTGTGTTTCAGTTGAATTTGTTCTGTTGCTTGACCTTCCTTCCCCTTGTCCATTGGAGCCCTACTTCTAAAAGTCACGTGCCATCTATTTGGCGTCCCAGTTCACAATTAAGAGTAGGCTATAAGGGGAGATTGTCAGTATTTTGTGTGGCAAGAAAAGCCACAGTCATGTTGTCTTTGCACTTTGGTTGCTAAAAATCTTCCTATGGAACATAGCCACATCTAGATAAATATGGACTTTATATTAAAATTATTTCCAGTGTCTATAAAAATGCTTTCTTCTGTAGAATGTTTTTGATCCATAGTGACCTTTGTCTGTAAAACACATATTTAGAATATTTGGAAAAAAGTAAATTTTTTTTTTTCTTTCCCAAAAAGACTGTGAGGTTGGTGTTCTTATCCTGGGAGGTAACCTTCAGCGCCTTTTTAAAGAAAAATATTTTTCCTCAGTGTTTTGGTCTACTGTTCATTTTCATTCTCTCCCCTCCCCCACTGTGGCCACCATCAGGAGTTTGTTTCTTCGTTTCTCATTCAGGCCTTTTCATTGTCCAAATTGAAGTCCTAGATTTGTCCTTTGACTGTTTGCCTCTCATTTGAAGAAACTACTTTAAACAAAAACCAAATTTTTAAAAACAAGTCTTTAGGGACCAGAATGGTGCAGTTAAAAAAAAAAAAAAAAAAAAGACGACTCTGGCTGGCTGACTGCCTGGAGCATCCTTCACTGCTGGAAGTGCCTCTGGAGCGAGCGGGGTGATTAACTGAGGGCACCTGCGCTGGGAACTCTGAGGCTGGTGAACAGAATGTATCTGAGATTGAGCGTAAACAGTTGCAGGCTTAATATGTAACCGCCGAGAGAGGAGGCAACCTACTGGCTTTTTTCCCAGGAGGTGGCAGCTCTCACAGCAGGGAGATTTTGCCTCAGCAAATTGAGAGAGGACGGGTCCCCTCTCCTCTTACCCCGCTTTACACACACACACACACACACACACACACACACACACACATGCCTGTTAAGTTTTATTTTATTTTTTAACTTTGTCCTAGATGCCATCTCTTTCCTTATGTCTGCACAAGCCGGGCATTGGCCTGGCTCCGTATTTGCTATTCCGTAGTATCTCCCCAAGGTGCATTTTAAGTCACTAATGTGGAGGAAGTAAATGGATTGTATAGTGTTAGTGAAGGCAAGGCTACCCTATGCAGGAACTGATGGCCCATTAGTGAAAAAGGAAATGGTCCTGTGTGTCAGATGTTGGCAGCCAGTAGCTCAGTTTCGGGCTAGGCCAAGAGACCTCAGCCATGAAAATAATTCTGATACTAGCAAAGGGAAATAGGTACCCATCTTCAATTTCTTTAATAGTACTTCATGTGGAACAGCTTGACTTTCAAGGGCTTTCTTAATTAAATTGTATTTCCTTGATGTGAGATCTAAGGAAAGGGTCCAGTGCTTTGGAGTAGCAGGAGTAGCTCCTGCCCCTGACCCTTTCTGGTGCTGCCTCTTTCCCTGCCTTTAATGCCCTTTAACTTGACTCTTACTTGCTAATAACCAGAACCTACTTTTTTTTTTTTTTTTAAAGATTTTATTTATTTATTTGACAGAGATCACAAGTAGGCAGAGAGGCAGGCAGAGAGAGAGGGGGAAGCAGGCTCCCGGCCGAGCAGAGAGCCCGATGCAAGGCTCGATCCCAGGACTCTGAGATCATGACCTGAGCTGAAGGCAGTCTTTAACCCACTGAGCCACCCAGGCACCCCTGAAATCTACATTTTTAAGTCCGTTCTCCATAGGTCTAGGTAAGGCTCCTAAGTCTGATGTTTGTTTAACCAGGCAAGCATTGCATGGTTTGATTCAGCAGCAACAATTTGCATTTATTACTGGTGTCTACGGATGTCTCTTTCCTTAAGAAGGTGAATTCATTGCAGAAATAGAAAGCATCTGGGTTTCCATCAGAGGACTATAGTGTTTAAGTGATTTACCATGACAAAAATGGCCATTTTTGGCTATGAACTGCACCTATGGCATTGAAAGGGATCTTGAATTCTTAAATTCCTGTTTAAATTATTGCAGCACAAAGTGACCAGCAGTGCTGAGTGCAAGGAGGAAAGCCATCAGCCTTGCTGGGTTGGTTTCGTTAACAGCAGGGCTCCCCTGCCCACCACAAGCTTCAAACAGACACATAGGCATATACATACGGTATATGTATATGTACATGTATAAATCATACACAATGTATGATTTCCTGGGATTTGATTTCTTGATGGAAGAAGATTTGGGAGACCCACCGTGGTGAGCCTGGGATACCGAGCAGTGGTTTGCTTACTCATGCATCCACTTTTTTGAGGCTCCGCAAGGTGCAGGGAAGGGGTTGTTGCAGAGTCCAGATCTGAGAAACAAGGGAGGGCAGAGACTTCAGTGTTTAGGCTGGCACAGTTCATACAGTAGGATCCCGGTCCATGTGCTTTGATGATAGCCTTGCTCATGACTCGGGTTTCAGCTACTGGTGTGAGCAGCTTTCAAGCATGCAGAGTTGGGGCTTGTCAGTCATTGTGTTTTTCATATAAACAGGATTTGGAGAATGGTCACTTAACCTAGGAATTTAGTGATTTTTAAAAAAATCTGCTCCCTGTAGTTGGTCTGTTTGGTAAATAAGTGAAGGCCCCAGGCCAGGGGCCAGGATTCTTAACTTGTATAATTTATTAGACTCTAGTTCTCAGAGGCTCTGTTTGTTGATGGTTCTATTCACGAAGTCAGGCAGAAGGCAGTTTGACGTCACTAGGAATAACCTTGTAGCGTGTGGGAGCCTTGTCCTCCGCAGTTGTGTGGGATGGGAAAGGAGGCCACTTTTCAGGGACTTGGAGTTGGAGCAGGAATTTTCCTTTTGTCTACCTTCTCCCGCTATAACTCTTGCCAGCTTCATTTAGTTGCATTGTTTTGATACAGATTGCTCTCCCATCTCACACAGTTGGACACCATCTGTGTGCTAGGCTCAGACACGTATAAATGGATATTTGGATTTCTAATAAAGCACTTGCCAGTTAATATCTTCTCTGGTCTTCAGTGAAGATGGAATTAACCCATTCCCCATAAAGTCTCTAGGAAATGTAACATGGTGATTGACAGGATACCAAGTGCTTTCATGCACCGTCTTACCTGATGTCTCCACATCCATGTCGGGTGGGCAGGTCATCTTATCCCCGTTGAAAAATTCAGAGGGGTGATTTGGCTTAAATTCCCACCAACTAATCTATAGTTTAGCGGGGATAAGAACCTGGGGATTAGAGCTCCTACTGGAGTTCAGCTGTGGGCTTGCTATTTCAGAGCGGCATCGTGGGCTCGGTTGATATATTATTAGGTACATAAATGATTCCACTCAAGGCTGTATGCGGATGTGCTTATTTACAGATGACCCAGAAGGAGCAGGGAGGGCCAGACTGCTGGGGAAAGCATTTGGGACAAGAGAAGGAAATGTCTTACTGGTTGGGCTTATCATCTTGTAGACTGGGAGCCCTGGGCTTGGTTGGTGAGCCGGGGCTGCTTTCTGTGTGCAAGGAGGTGGATGAGCTGGTGTAAGTGTTTGGGGTTCCTCCTGGTGGGAGTCCGTGGCTGGGTCACCCATGCGCATCTTGTGTGCTCTGAAGCTCAGAGCCAGGAACAGGCGAGTCTCTGAGCCAAAGCCATCAGCCTGCTTCTAGAAACGTGTCAGAGGATTAGCTTATTGGCTTTCCCCCTGAGTGGCATTAGCTCTCACCCCGTCTCATGTTCACCATCTGGCTTTGAGTAAGAAGTCGTCGAGTGATCTCTCTTCAGCAGCCTGCTCCGTGCCAGGGCTTTCTGAGGCCTGTTCAGCTTCTTCCTCAGCAACCCCAGGGCCCAGTGCTCTCCAAGAAGAGATAGTCGGTCTGTTGTGCCCACACATACGCACACCTGGGATCAGAAAATACTTTAGACCTCAGAGGAAAAAAAAAAAAAAGGAGAATGCATCTGTGGGGTTAGTGGCCTTTTGTTGTCAAAACTAACAAGTGGATCTGTCCTTAGGCGAATTTTAAAAAATGGAGTTGCCCCTGCCTGTACGATGAGACAGTTTGTCCAGATTTTAGTAGAGCAAGACAGACGAAGGGGCTGGGATTTTTCTTCCTCCTTGGGAAGCTTAAATGGGGTGGGGTGCTTAAATGAACGGCCTCTCCTCCTCCCTGGGAGCTGGCTGCTCAGTCCTCCTAGGTTAATATACATTGACTGGGGCTAAATGCCTGACGCTTCTGGACAGAGTCCAGACCCTCAGCAGAGAAGCCGCACTGTGGAGATACAGCTGCTGGCATTACAGGGCTAAGCCCTTTCCAGCTGCTTTGCTTTAACGGAAACTGCCTGCAGTCGGCAGCTTAACGGAGCTGTCTTAGCCCCCTGAGGAGGAAATGACTAATCTCGGCATCTTCTCAGGGCACTGGCCTG